AATGGCTGACCACATACTTTCTTCTTCCCAAAATTCCTCATTCTTCAACTCCCCTAAAGTTATTTGATGTCATCAATTTGCTCTCTTAACCAAAGCAAAGGTTATGGTTAATTTTTCTGCAAAGGTTATGGTTAATTTTTCTATGGTTTGGGACAAGTGGAAGGTGTGGTGTTTAGGCTTATGAAGGTATGGGTCAAGTGAAAAGTGGAGATGACTTTTTGGCTTAGATGGTTAACAAAATAAGGAAACATGAATGCCTTGATCATATAAGTGCACAACATAAGCAAACCACCAGGGAAACTCAAGCAAAGTCTATCATGCAACTTAAGCGTAATTCACTCACAAGTATTTAGGCTCAAACCTCACCCGGCTATGCATCCACAAATTATCAAACTCAGCTCAGTTCTATGATCAACATTGAAACCCGTATGCAACTAGTCATGAACTAAAGATCTAACGTGACTTGAAAATGTCTAAGGTACACACACCACAAACATCAAGCAAACCACAATCCAGAATCAACCCCAAGCAAAGCAAGTATCAACAAGATTAAAAACCGTATTAAAGCAGAGTATTCACAAAAAGAGAACCAACATAGTAATCACCAAAAAGAACTAGATATAAAAATAATTAAAATAGTGAAAATAAAAGACAGAAAAATAAATTGCAATAAACAAAGGTAAACTAAGGTAGGCTCCATCTGCTTCCATCTATGGGGTCTGGTCATCATCATCAACAGCTGCTCCACCATCATTAACTCCATCTGCATCAGCAGCTCCACTCCCCCAAACTTAGGAGCCTGGTTCCCAGGCCAACCAGTATATTCCTAAAAGTCCTGGTAACCAGAAGTGGTTGCGGAGTGTAATCATGAAAAAATATGGTGAGCACAAAAATTATACACAGTGATGACCAAGCAAATATAGCAAAAATGGAGAATATCCTGAGACCAAAATTAAGCACAACATGCATGCACACGGAAATGGACTATGACAATGCAACACAAACAGAACATAAAGAAACATGATTGAAAATAGCTAAATACTGGGTTTCAGGAATGTTATGCGCGGGGCGCAGAACAGATGCGTCGGACTTTGTATCAGTAAAATTCAACGAGGTTCCAAATCTGATATCGCGTCGGGCGTAAATTAAGCGCGCCCGGCGTGGTAGTGGTCAATTTGCCTAAATTTTCTTTAAGAGAAGGCCTTATCTCCACTCAGAACCAGAGTTACCTCATTCCTTACACTCCAAACAATATATACCCTATATTTACCCACTCAAGCATGATTCTAACAATTAACACATAACACAAAACAACATATAACACAAAACAACATATAGCAAACATTAACACTGAAATCTAAAACACGAATGAGATGAGAAACACATAAACAAAGTTCAGATCTCTAGGTTGCCTCCCAGGAAGCGCTTGTTTACTGTCCCGAACCTGACAGTGACCAACTTGAATTGCTCTAATTCTCCTTCTCCTCCTGTTGCTATTGTTCCTCCTTGCCCTGTGCTCAATCTCAGGATTGCTCAACAACTGCTCAGAGGGATTGGTCAATCTAGTTCAATAGTACCTTGCATACAAGAGAAAGCAGAAGACTAGAGTACACAGGTTAGCTCCAACAATTCATTGCTAACATAAAAATAAAAATAACAACAAAAGAACAAGTCACAAATAGTTATAAATACTAATTTGCCTTGCTAATCCCCGGCAACGGCGCCAAAAACTTGTTGAGATTTCTGTTGAAACACTTTTGTTATAATTGTAAATCAGTTTAATTTTGTCCTTTAAAATCCTAATCCAATCTACCCCGTTAGTCTCTTAGAATTAGATAGAGTTTGTGCACTGTGCAACTAACTGCGTTATGTCACACTCATTACTAATGACCGTGCCTCTCTTATTGCAACTGTCTCCTGCTTAGCTTAGTTTTGCCCCTTCCTTACTAAAACAATACTTATCCTCCGAGCATTCACTACTCTCTAGAGATGGCTTCAAATGTCTCTTACATGCTACTTCTATTTTGATAGGATTATTTTTATGATATTTATTTAAAGAAATATTTTTTAAGTATTATTTTTTATAAAGTTATTTTACACACAATTTCATAATAATGAGATATTATCTATTTTGGGTCTAAGTTCTTACAGTTATACTTTTAATTATTATCTAAAAAACCTCTCAAATATTAGATCTTGTGACTCTGATATCAGAGATATGTTTATTTTTCTGATATTTATCTGAAAAGATATTTTATAAGTGTTATTTTTTATAAAATTATTTTACACACAACTCTATAATATAAATTATTGTCCATTTTGAGTCTAAGTCTTCACGATTTTATTTTTAATTATTACTTAAAAACATTTCAAATATTAAAATATATTTATGTTTTATAAGTTATTATTTATTCTCTTATTTTTATTATTTTATTAACGTGGGATTTATTTGTATCCGACATATCTCCCTTTCTCATTGCTGCTGACTTCAACAAAGACTTTGACATAACATGGGGTGATGGCCACGCCAAGATACTAAACAACGGAGTTACTCGCTCTGTCATTGGACAAAGCATCTGGTTCAGAGTTCCAATCATAAAATCAGTGTCTCTTTGCCGAGATTGACATGCAGCTCAAGCTCGTGCCTCGAAACTCTGATGGCACTGTCACTGCCTATTATGTATGTTCTTCCTTTAGTTATTACTACCACTATACAACAATAACTGATGATGATAAAACCACGCCTTTGTTTGCAGCTATCTTCAAAAGGATCAAGTTGGGATGAGGTAAACTAAGAATTTATAGGAAATCTAGGCGGTGAACCTTACATCCTTCACACAAACGTTTTCAGCCAAGGAAAAGGGAACAGGGAACAACAATTCTATCTATGGTTTGACCCAACTGCTGATTTCCACACTTACTCTATCATGTAGAAACCCCAGCGGATTGTGTAAATCCTCTCATCCACATATTCACCATTTCTTTTCCTCTTCTCTACTCTATCATATTATCTTTAACATGGTAATTTCTTATGCTCTTAATTCAGATTCTCTGTTGATGGCACTCCCAATAGGGAGTTCAAGAATTCAGACGCTATTGGGGTGCACTTTCCAAAGAACCAGGCCATGAGGATATATTTGAGCTTGTGGAATGCTGACGAGTGGGCAACAAGAGGTGGACTTGTGAAGACAGATTGGACACAAGCTCCATTCACAGCTTCCTACACAAATTTCAATGCAGAGGCTTGCGTATGGTCTTCTTCTGGGACATCATCTTGTGATTCAAGTTCTTCTGCATCCACAAGTGGCTCATCTCAGGAGCTGGACGCTACGGGCCAACAATGGGTGCAGAAGAACTACATGATATACAATTGTTATACAGATACAAAGCGCTTTCAACAGGGTTTTCCTCCGGATTGCAACATCTCTTGAGAAAACAAAGCAACGCATTCCTTATATTTTTCTGTGATCGAAGAGCCACTCCAATATCAGTTTATTGATTGATGTAGCTACTGTAGTTCAATTCTTTCATTCGTTCTCCTTTCTTCTGCCATCACTATGTTAACTGATATGGTCAGTTTTATAGTAAAATATATTCATTTCTATATTACACATTTCCTACCATTTTTATGGGCACCTTGCACGACTCGTGGAAACTACTTAAAAACAATCTCTCTACCACAAGAAAAAATTGTAATTAAAATTTAAATCATACAATTACAAGTTCAAAATGCATTCCTAATAAAGCAGGGAAGAATTAATTAAGTTCTAAATCGTTAATCATGATTAGAATGAATAACTAAGTGTGTGTTTGTATAATCGGTAGTGTGAATTCCAAAGCAACGAAACAAAAAAGCATGAGTCTTGATGCTTTAAAATGAACCCACGTCTAACTGTATCAATGGAAAAACAAACACACCCTAAATTAATCTCAATTATAAACTTATATTGAAAATGGTTTTTAATTAACAAGTGAGACGATTTTGTTTATAAATTAAGCTAATTTTAATAAAACTATAAACCGTTACACGTAATTAAGATATGTAAAACCTTTTTTTGATGGCATGATTTCGAGTAATCAGTTCCCCTACTGCAATGGATCAATCTTTCTACTTTCCACATCATACGGAGAAGACACTGCCAAACCAAAACTAGATAAGGATGCAGTAAGAAAAAATGATAAACATGAAAACTAACGTGATACATGCTAGAAAATCCACGGACGATGACAGCACAAGATAACTACCGAAGTAATCCACGGATAATGTTGAGATAATAAATTGTAATAATACAACTAGAAAATCAAGTAACCCAAAATATACAGTGAGATGACAAATCTTAGTTATCTTCTCAAGTATGAGAGGAGTTCTGTAAACACGTCATCCCTAAAAACCCAAAGCCAAAGTAAGGAGCATAAACGCGAAAGTGAAAAACAAATGGCAATCACGGTTTTTCCTAAACTTCAACATACTGTACAGGATACTGGGACAAACGAGCTGTCAAATCAGATACACAGATGCATAAATCAAGAATATCAACACCAAGGACTGCACAAATTTGGTTGGCACCGATAAAGATAACTAAATCTGCAGAATATCAGTATAATCATAAGGCTAACTGTTAATCCTGCAACCATTGTTCAAACAACCTAATCATCTAACTCCTCTATCTGTGCCCGTTTCTCAGCTGCTATCTTCCTGATAAAGAAGCCCCATCTCATTGCTGCCTTAATCTTCAGCCATCCCACAACAGCTCTGCCTGGGCGAGAGCGATCCTCGTCATAGTTTGGAATATTGGGAGATGGCATGAATGATGGGAATGAATAGCCATCCTCAGCATTTATGGAAGCATGACCTCCCATGCTGAAGAGGCGAAGCAAGTGCTGCATATCTTCATTCTCTAGCATCTCGTGACTTCTGAGGCGGATTTCTTCTTCCGAAAAGAATTCATCAACCCCCTTGTCCCTGTTATGTGACCAATCATCAAAAGGATTTAGAGTAGATGGCTGAATAGAAGAGCTACCAGCATGGAACCCTGATGTGGATGACTGAGGAGGACCAAGAGCTAACCCAACTGTGCCATGATCATTACTAGTGCTTTGGGTTTGGTGAGCATTGCTGATTAATTGCTCATTAGACAGATACAATGAGCTCTCAAACTGACTCCGGGAGCTGGAGTTTGAAATCAATGACTGGGTTGGATATCGTGTTACTATATTATCATTATAACCTGAAAAGGGATTGTATCAATACATTTGTATCTCAAGACCATCATACACTTACAATAAGAAATGTCACACAATGCTTGCAAACATACAAATGTATTCATGTATATACAATAGTTCACTTTGGGGAGATGGGTAGAAGACTCATTTTTAAAATATTTTTCTTTATCTTGAAATTTGCTCATTAACCATATTATGGAAAATATCTCATTTTTATCATCACAAAGAAGTATTTAGAAATCATATTGAGAAAAAAGTATCTGAATCTGACAATCCTAGCCCAAAAGAAGTGTTTAGGTTGGGGGGGAGGGGGAGAAACAGAAAAAGAGAGGATCCATCAACTCAGTTCAAGGAAACAGTGATGCTTACTTCCAACAGATATCCCTGAATTAATTTGTTGTTCAGAAGGAACAGACACTGGGATGGTCGGCAGTTGCAGGTGATGATCCACTAAACCACTACCATAATCAATTGACTCAACACGAAGTTCATTTTCAGATGTGGCAGACCTGTTATTTTGGTTAGCATTCACGAGTGATTTGCCATCATACTCCACGACCTGATCCCAATTGTCATATGCTTTCTTCACCAATGAATCTACATAAACCTGGACTTACAAAAGCATTTTAAAGATACCATAAGCTTTCACGACTCCCGACAGAAAACTTTAAAAGAAACTGCAAACTTTAAGCCTTGGCAAGTCTTAAATATTACAGTCCTTATTATCTAGGATTTCTTAGTAACATAGCATGTACTTGCTTATTGTGTTCAATATTCATGTTTGCAGGTATGAGAGAAGAACATACGAACAGCATTGCTGAATCAATTAAAGTAATAGATTGAAGTATGCCAATAACATACGCACATGCTCAACATTGGGAGAAGAACAAACTATCATACACTACAGAACTACAGAAGCTCATCACACACTAAAGTAATAACATTATCTATTAATATCAGTGGAAGAAGCACAAGATGCAGACTAACCTTCTGGCTATCAGTGAGAGAGTCGGCAGAAAAGAATTGTTCTCCTGTTATAAGGCCTCGCAACTCATAGATGTGGTTAAAAATAATGCCAGCATTTCTTGTATCTTCTGGATAATAAATATAGAGCTTCCCACTTAGAACACATGTCTTCGCATGGTCTAAGAGAGCCTCCCACATCTTGTTTGACATACCACTCCCAAGGATCTACAGTTGAATGATATAAGAAAACGACTGGAAAGACCTAACTTCAAGATTAAGACACAAAACCTAAACTTACATTCCGCAACTTCTGTTGATCCTTAACCACCAGCCGAAGAAAGTCTTCAACTGTGGTTATTCCTGCATTATTCAGCTTCTTGTGAAATGACCCATCCTTGCCTATCTTCTCCAATCTCCATACTTCATCAGTCAATGCAGGGGGATAATGCTTCTTATATACTGTAAACGTTCAAAATATAAAATTTAGAAGATGGTATTACACTGAAAAAGCAGGGAGAACACAGATGCTAAAGAAAAACTAAAATATGCAAAAGCATAACCCTACATTCTCCTCTATGATCTTTAACTGTGAAAGCCACTGTCTTAGCTTCACGAATGCGAATGGATTCTCCAAAACCTGATGCAATCTTCAGGCCAAGCCTGAATTTGCGGCTCCTTATCCAGCTTGAATTATCTGTAAATGTCAGTTCCCCTAATGTTCCAACTCCTTCCTTGAGTGTCACTTGCAGGTCCCCAGTCAACAAAGGTCTCTTTCCTTCACGTTCTTTTACCACATGACTTTCAAAATCATCTTGAGTCCAATCTTCATCATCTTCATTGTTGAAATCCCCTTCAAGGACAACAACATCTAGTTTAACACATGATTCAGGTCCAGATGTTACAACATTTCCACTATTGGCATCAATCAGAACAACATGAATTGGAGCCCCCTGCTCGCCTTCCACTTTTCCTCCAGTGAATAGGGGAAGAGATAGCCGGGACCTAAACTGTAGCTGCAAGTTTCTACCATCTGGGCCTTCAATCATTTTAGGAGGTGACCTGGAATTTTTAATCTGTTAGAAGAAAATACCAGGCTCACTGACGTACTAAATTTTAGCAGGTTAACTATATTTCCATTTGCTTCCTAAGAAAGAACTTTTGTACGAGTTTCAAATGGATATGGATCACTTAAAATGTCTTGATATCTCAGAATGCTTACTAACTCAGAGCATGTGTGAATTGTGATCATACATATGGACACAATGAAACAAAAATAAATAATAAGGGATCACATAATGGATGCTATTACTACCACCATACTACACTATTGTCCCATCAATTCCTCCAAGACCAAGGCAGGTGAACATTTGTATAAAAATGAAATATATTGAATACAGACAGACCTCCTTTAACTCATATATTCAAATCATAAAAGCTTATTCCAGGCACTGCAGTGGACTGAGCAGTACCTAAATAGACTATGGAACCTGAAGAAATGGTTTCTGCTAAAGTTAAAATTTCCTTGTTCAGTTTCTTCCCATTCAGTTTCATGGAATTTTAGTAAATAGCTTGTCTTGCTTGTTTAGTAAAGTCACGCTTTTCATTTTGATAGTAGAAGGTGCTTGTTGGGGCAGGGCACTCTTCATTCAAAACTAATGAATATTGGGTTGGGGTTTTTTGCCTTATATCAAAAAGGGAGTTGGGAGTAAAAAGAAAAGGCATTAATGCATTGTTGAAGTGCACTTAGAAAACTAGGGCACCCAATTTATAATAGTAAAAAATAAACAGTGTACTGATAGTTATTATTTCCACATTATCCAGTTGTATCTTTGCCAGGTCTACAGAGTACATACTAATACATGTAAAGAAGCATGGACAACGCATAGTTTTATAATTCAAGGGATATTATGACCACTACAAATATATTGAAATTGATTTCCACAATTTGTAAAGGGTTTGTTAAACCTTCCACCAAGTCTTGCAGGACCTAACTTTGCCAAAGCACGCTCCACTTCTTCACTCACCTGTTTCACATCAGTATTACTGAATTGATTAAGAACCAAATGCAGAAACTTGCAGGTATAACAAAATGAATCATATTATAGTATAGTTTCTTCTATGAATACAAAATTGTTCATTTTCTCAATAACGTGCCAAACTCATGTTTTCACACAAATGCTTCGACTAATGACAACATGCCAAGAAGCAAGAATAAAGATGGAGTTAGATGGAATACTGAAAGCAAAACGTTCATATAATATTCTGTCATACTGTGAACATCATAGTTATCAATCTCACCCTACAGCACATAGCAGTCAGCTCTAAAAGCACTGGACAACTGCTATATTAAATATTACGATACAAACTAAATCATTTATACTACATCAATCTAGGAGCAATAAGAACATAGTAATCAAATCAAAAGAATGAAAGATGACAGTGAAATTAATACAAAAAGAACATAAATTTGCGGAATGTGAACTAGGAAGTCTAAAGGAAGAAGGAATAAAACAGGTAAGAAAAAAGTCCTACAAAGTGTGAATGAGCAGAAGTAAAAACAGAGGTAACCTTTTACGGAATGGTCAAGAACGAAGTGTTTCAATTTTTCAAATCCTATGATGTTTTTGATGCAAAAAATGCTGTAGAGAATTTGGGAGAAATCACAATTTTACCAAAAAAAAAGACCCTAAACAACGTTGCTTGAGGGGGTAAAATGGATTTTTGAAGCCTATATCATGGTAGCTCTGCTAGCACACAAAAGAACAATATATAGGCCACTATTGCAACTGCAATGGCCACTATCAAAAACCACTCTGCTATCTGAATCCCATGGCAGGTCAGGGCCACTTCGCTCTACTACTCCACTATAATGCACTAATGATAACTATGGTGAACATTATATTTCTTTAAGCAGGCAAAATTAGTATATTGTTTTCACTATTTCATTAAGGAATAAGACATTTTACAAATAGGATGGAGAATATCCACACTCAAGTAAAAGTACTCCATCGCTCTTAAATAGCATATTAGATGATAAGAATTGATTTAATGTGCAAAATGGCTTCTAGTAGGAGTAAAAGGAAAATAACTTTTTGTGGAAAGTATAGCCCCTGTGTCCCTCACCAAAAAGTAAGCATGTCAAAAAGAAAAGTATATAGCAATAAATAGTGTGAAAGTAATTAAAGCCAATTGTCTTACAACTCTACGAAGAATAGGTTCTAAAGATGAGCAAAGCTTCTGCAAACTGTCCACCTTGAGAGCTTCCACAATTACACTGCAAAATATATGTCTATGAATTATAGGAAACTAACAAAAAAATATAAATTATAAATAAGCAGCATATTGTTTATGACCAACAAGAAATGAAGTCTTCTTTAATTATAAGTTTAACAGATAAGTTTCTGAAAACATATAACTATTTTAGTTTATAAGCATATACACTGATTTACTCGAAATAAACAATGAAACATTTAAGTTGTTATCAAGTTACTGAATAATGATTTGATTATTTCACCACAACCCCCACAAAAGTTTTTAGTGCGCATTTGAACAAACAATAACAGTCATTAGTAAATAATAATAAACATGATCTTAAGATAAGTAAAAATGAGGAAAAGTTTTAAAATATTTTTATAGAGAAGAGAACGACTGTAGATTGTGCATAGGGAGATGCTTCCTTCCCAGCTATGCCCTTTCATAATATCAAGCCAAGAACATTCCTTACCAAGAAAGCAAGTTTCAACTGTTTTTGAAGATGTGGTAATACAATTTTTATATCATCAGCAAAGAGATACAATCTCTCGAGTCACAATATTATATTCAGAGTAACAATCTCAAACAAGAGAATTTTGAAGAAGGAAGAATATTAGAGAAGAAAATGAGTGAGATACACAATCTACTACAACTAATTTCTACTTCAAAAAGAAAAAAAGAAAAAAAAAAGCAGCAGCCATAGTAAACAAGAAAAACAAATCAACTAACTGTTACAACCTATGTTAACTTGGCCATTCAAATAACTGTATTAACCTTTAGTATGATTTGGAAATACCAGAAAGAATCTTTTAAATGCATGATGCAGTGATAATCAAAATGGAATGAAAACCATCAAGAATAAATTTTTCACATAAGCCACTACCATGAAAAAGATGAAGTGGACTGTCTCAAACATTCGGTAACAAGTAATATTCCATTCCAGAAATGACAATTGACAACAAAAAAGTTCAACTACAGCAGCACTTTATGAAAATAGCCACAGTCACCCAACTCGAGTAGCAAAATAAAGTTAGGGATAAAACATAAGGAATAGTAATATAATTAACCAACACGAAAAATATCTTGAGAAGTAAGCGTATTGTTCAATTACGGGGATATTGACATTCCTTTCACCTTCTCTCAACTGGGAAACAGTACAAACAGCACTTTACATCTTTAACTAGAACTTGCACTCGCACACACCCCGCATAAAAATTATTAACTGCTCAGGTTAACCAACTACTAATGCAAAATAGTGAACAAGTCAAAATTAAGATTTTCCCCCGAAACACAAGTGGTGGATTTACAAAGATATTCAAGGAAGCACACGATTGTAAAACGATGAATAATTATTAATTAATTACCTGGCAAGAGCAGGCCTCTTACGTTCAGGCTGGTCATCTTCTCCACCCTCCAAGTTCCTTTTCCCCATACTAATTGCGTCCGTTGTCGGTTTCTGCATATACACTCTCTCCTCCAATAATACCCTAAATTGCCAAATCTGCAACCACAAAATAAAACACCACTATTATCACCTACAGAGGAAAAAAAATTAATAAGCAACGAAACCCTAGTAGCTACAGCGCCCGAAAAGTGGAAACTCGTAGCAGATCTAGAACACAATAACAAAACAAATTAAACTCGAATTCCACCAAAAACCTTAAAATTGCAAACTTGTGAGACCACAGCAGATAAGCAACCTCTTTTTTGGGAGAAAAAGCTGTCAGAAACTCAGTGAAACACACTGAGAGAAAACCATAATCGTTTTTGGCGAGCTGGAAAATTTTAGAAAAAAGAAAAGACGCGAAGCGAAAACGAAGGTGCTACTACCTGAGAAATAAAACTGAAAACTCGTTTGGTGTGTGTGTGTGTGTGAGAGAGAGAGAGAGAGAAAGAGGAGCGAGAAAACGAATTACAAGTTATGAGTTTTGCTAAGTCCAACAGTTTCAGTTCGTTCGTATGTTACGGTCTACTCTGGCGACTTTCAACTTGATGGAGGAGTGATCACCTACTTTGCCGAACAATGTTCCTCAATTCTTTAACCAATGTCCTAATCCTTCTAAACTTGTAAACTTTAATTCAACGGTGATGCCCTTCTCACGTTGTTTTCATCATCCGTTCCTGATTATTACACTTACTAAGTGTGTGCCAGTACATGTTTATGTGTTTTTGTGGCTTATTTATCGCGTACGGGCCTTGTCGTTTATGGGAAAAACCTATCTTTCAATCATAGCCGTGTGTTTATTGGATCAGATTAGAAAACCCAACTTGTACTCTCCCATGACGTCACCAGATGACCAACTGCCAACATCATCCATTTACTTCACAGCATGCCACAACAACACAAATTCCGATTCTATTAAGGAATCAAAAAATAACAAACTTTTATTATAATTCTTCGTTAATTTTTAATTATTATTTTTTAATTAATGATATAATTGAATATTTAGTTGTCTTGTCACGGTATATAAAAGATCATTTAAGAGACGTGAATAATTTATATCATGGAAACGATACGCCGGAGGAAGCAGAGAATATTTGTTGATTATACTCTTTAATTAATACCCACTCATAATTAATTACGATTCAACAACATGATCGCCGTGTCACCCATTGGATTCGGTGTATAGAGATAGAGTTTGGTTTTAATATTCCTTGTTAATAAATAGCAAGTCCTAATTTGAGGGGGTGATGAATAGAATATTCTAAAAGGTTATTGGTCAATATGGTTTGTTTTACAATTAAAAAACGTGATGATTCACCAAAATGGTTTGGGTTGGGGAGAAATGTGGAAAACTGCGAGGGGCAGTTTGAACTTTAAAAGCTGTCGACTGTTGCTAACTCGACGTGAGTTTGTCCACTCGAGCAAGATTGTGATTTGTGAGACGCATCTCAGGTAATTAACCAAAAAAAACAAATTTTCACGATGGCCACTTTAAGAAGAAGAAGAAAAAGTAGATAATTAATCACGTTTGGTTACATGTCAGCGGGGGAAAAGGAAACAGTTATATATAGGAGTTTTATTATATAGTCTCGTAGACAAGAAAATTCCTTTAATAATAGTCATGTGGCTTGAGAATCATAAATGGACCGTGCGTCACCATAAAAATGAAATGAGAATCATATTGTGTACGACTATCTTGTGAGTCGTGACATTTGTTGTTGTTCTAATTTTTGTCAACTATTAAGGTCGTGAGTAAATGATTTTTAAACATCTCATTATTTTTAAAACGTATTATTTTATTTATCTTTCGCTTCTTATCTCACTATATATATCACATGCCATATTTATATTTTTTGTCTCTCTCACTAGATGTTGAGTAACATGTCATTTTGGTAAAGTGTATGCATGAAATGAAATCAAAATTCAGAGGTAAACATCGAATATAATGCTTAGGAACTTGATGCTAAAACAAATCAATTAATAGATCATGCATAGCTAACAAACCCTGATTATAAGGGTATCTGTATAGCTGTTTTGGAAAATAGTCACTTCTACTTACAAATTATGCAAAGAAAAGTAATGCAATTTTTTTTTTCCTGAAGTAGTCAAAGGTGTGTTGAAATTATCAATAAAAGTTCACCTAAAAAAAATTGGCGTTCAAAAAAATTAAATCCATACACCCATAAAAAAGATAAAAGTTAGATCCTCGATCACTTGTGTCAATTCATGTTGGTAGTAGAGATGCAAACATGCTATCATTATTCTACACACCATTCTTATTCATACAAGAAAATAAGAAAATATACTTTAATACCAAAAAAAATACCCTTAGAAGACATTTTCTATTTTTGGTGAATGGCTTTAGAAGACGCCTTTAAAGCATTATTTTCCTCGTCTTATATTTCTATAATTTGTAATAATGTTTTTGTCAATCCACATTCTCTAAAAAATACGTATATTTTTATAACCAATAAAAATGTTTATCAATCTATAATGCTTTTGTCAATCCGCATTCTTTAAAAAATACCAACCTATATTTCTATAATCCATGATAATGCTTTTGTCAATTCTCATTCTTTATAAAAGACTAACGCATTTTTTTATTGAAAACTTAGGTTTCACTCCTCTTAAGTAAAAGATCAAATTCAAATTGTGAACCAAACAATTAAAAAAGAAAAAATATTTGTCTCCTTACATAGACCTAATCAATTTAACCTAAATCATAGTTTAATGAAATTTTATAAATACCAAAGATCTCAAAATTAAAAATCTTTCTTTAAAGGATATAATAAAACTAGTTTTGAGTAATACTGCATTTATTTTGAAAACATGCTTAAATTAAGAAACAGATTGAATCACGTATATATTGAATCTTTTAATTATAAATAATACGTATTTAATAAAAAAAGTTTATTGTAGTTTATAACAAATTAAAAGTAAGGCCCGGCATTTAATTGTTAGTTTTCAAAATTATAATAATTAAATCCAATTTCGATTTTAAGTTTTTATTTTTGTATATTCAGTTGCTTAAAAAATTGCACATCAGAAATTGATACAATAAGTCAACCCATTATTAAGGCAGCACATTGACGGAAATACTGATCTGTCAAAGCTTTCCCTTCCAAATGCTAGTATTCGGGTTTCAAATTTTAGTAAAGTAAAAAATGGAAAAGATAGAAAATTACGAAGTTGTGACAAAAAAAAAAAAAAAAAAAAAAAAACAACGGGTGCAAGGATGCCTAGTGGTGACAATAAAAAATGCAATGCTTTAAAGCCGTGTCGTGAGTGAAAACGATGATATCCAAAAAATAGAAGAAAAAAAAAAAGGGGTTTTATTAGAGCTGCTCCGATCAAGATGTATAGTTTTAAAAACCGGACCGGTCATCCAACCGTTTAAGGTACTGGGTCAATGGGTCAAAGGTTGAACCGGTAGATCACTAGTTGAACCGCATGACTCGATTTTTATTTATTTTTATTAAAAAGTATTCATATTAAATATATTTTATACTTATAAATTTTAATAAATTCATATCTTATTTTAAATTTTAATTTTTCTATCTTATTTAAAATTATTTTTATTTTTATTTTGTAAAAAAATACATAAAAAAAATTACATGTTAAACGGTATATTAATACAAATTAAAAATATAAATAATATGTACATATATAATATGCTTGCAATTAATATCACAAAATAATATATGTAATATTTACATAGATATTGCATTATTAAATATATAATTTAAAATTAATAATATACTATAAAAGTTATTTAAGTTGTATATATTGCAAACAAATATATTAGAACAAGTAGTCATTGTTATATTTAATAAGACTCCTTGCTTTTTCATTAAAAGATTCAATTTTCATTATTATTTTTGTGATTTATGATCCTTTAAAAAAATATAAAAAATAAATAAATAAAAAAAGTGGTTGAACCAGTTTGACCCACCGGTTCACCGATTGAACCGGAAAATTGACCGGTTCAATCCGGTTTAAAACGGGTCGACTGCATAACCGATCTAACTTCATATTCGGACCGGCTGGACCACCGGTTCCCGGTCCAACCGGTCCGACCGGCCGGGTCGGTCCGGGTTTTAAAACACTAGCTATAGTCTTTGACACGGCAACGACAGTGCTAGAGGACCGCGGCAATGGACTATATGGGTATTGGGTATACAGTGGACGGAGTATGGATAGTGTGTGAAGGAAGGAAGAGCCTACTAAACTAAAAACAAGAATGATAAATCTATTTTTTTATTATTTTAAAAACTAAAGAAAAAGACTATCACAATAACATATTTTGTTTTCAAATTTGTATAATCACCCACAAACAGTGCTGTTAAATCTAGTTCGGTTGTTTTCAGCGAATATAATTTTATTAACAAGTACAAATATATTTTCTATCATGATAAAATAAAATTTGAGTTTAACCATTTTATTCATGACATCTTTACAATAATGGGAAAATTGAGAATAATATATTTTTGTAATTATAAATAAAATACATCAACTGAAAATTGAAACAATCAAGGCAGTTGCAACCTTTAGTTTACAATATCCTCATCCCCAAACCCAAATTTTTTTTTGTTTTTTTTTTACCAAAAATCAATAGCAGGA